GGGGGTGTATAGGTATGTGTTATATGGTATTGCAAAAAAGGCAAAGCTTGCACATTCCAATTAAAGATAGTAAGCTCTGCTTTGAGTTTTAAGAATCCAATTTGCACAAAGCACCTTTCCAAAATGTATCTAGCAAGTTTCACTCAATTGCAACGCTATTTTATTTTATTTTGTTTTGCAGCGGTTTTAATTCTATGATGGTACAAGAAGTCACAGGTGGGGAGAAAGAACCACAAGATGTCACTGTTGCAGCAAACACACTCCAAACGCATCCGATTTCTCAGACTCCCACAGGCAATGACACAACCTGGCACATTTAAGTCCCATTGACTTTGCGAGGATATTAACCATGTACAGTCTCTCTCATTCAGTCTCCCAGACTAAAACCATGCACAAGCAATAAATGGCAACCTAAAGTTTTATCAGGAGTCCCCAATGCATTGTGAAGGCAATGTTGTAATAACTGCACCCTGTCGGGAAACTCTTCTTTTTGAATGTTACGGTGATATTACACCGGCACGTTAAAGCAATTTTCCCAGTCAATGATCAAGTTATGCATTTGATGATCGGGCTTGCCGCATGTATGCGTGATAATGCCATGCTGCTAGGAATGGAAAGACTATTCAAAAACACTTTCTCAAATATCTGGGAATCCTGGTGAGAAGAACCCAAGATAGGTGTGAATCGTCACAGTTTGGAGTTTATTTTGCATGAAAATGTATGTATGCTATTTCATGCAAAACAGTTTGTTTTCCTGCAGAAAATTGTACTTTTGGTATAAGCAAAGCCTATGTTTTCAGTGCAGAAAATGCAGGGTTCTTCACCAAAAAGCATTTGTGTTGGGGGTTTTTTGTGTGTGTGTGTGTTTGGAAAAGAATCAGCCTTTTAGTCTGAAAACAGCCCAGTTTTTTATGCCTTTTTCTCTATGAGGAGGGAAAAATAGTAATAAAGTTTTGAGACCAAAATTTGCAAAGATTTGTATCCCTATCATGTGAATCAAATCATTCAGCTATTACTAGATGTTATAATTTTCAGATGCAAGGATGGAAGGGATTTGTATTTCTGAGTGCTCCTCATGGATGTATAGCTAGAACAATATATCCAGTCAGGAAAGCAAGGTTTAAACACTTTCCGTTGGAGACTTCACTGTCAGAGTTGAACTATCCAAGGTGCTGAACTCCAATTCCCAAAATATTCTGAAATCCTAAACCTGTTCACGCCATAGATAACTCTGTTAAACTTCCAACAAAAATCCAGCACAGATGCAATGCCTGCACCTGTTTGGAGCAACCAAAATGCACAAAATATATTGTTGCAAGCTTTGGAAGCTCCACTGGATTCTTCATCAAGCAAAGGGGTTAACATCATGCACAATGGTGTACCCCATGACACTCCTTTGGTGATGGGTTGGGTTCTGGAACTGCCTCTATGATGCATAGGTCCAGGAGGTGGTAGAGAAGGTGTCTGCTCTTGGAGACAACCTGTGTTGTTGTTGTTGTCGCTGCTGTTGGGTGCCTTCAAGTCATTTCCTACTTATGGTGAGCCTAATGTGAACTGATTATAGGGTTTGATCCAAATAGGTCTGCCATTGCCTTCCTCTGAGACTGAGAGCATGTGACTTGCTTAAGGACACTCTCTTATAAAGCCTCAGGGATTAAGAGAGAACCTTCTAGGGTTGCTTTCCAGTAAATGACTGAAACCAATAATCTTGGATTGCCGCTGCAGTCCAGTGTTTTGCCCAAGGGAAGGCTAAGGATGTGGTCACAAATTGATACCTAAACCTCAGCTGGACTTGCATTGGGTTGCCTCCTCCACTTGGCTCACTCCTAGCTCCCATTCATCTAAATTGGCTATAGGTTAATAAAGTGACCGTTGTTTCAACCCATCCTCTTGTGTCTGGTCTTCTTAAAACATGGTTGGTCACTTTTCTAGTGATTTGCTCTGAGGACCTTCCCTTAATTATTCACTGAACACACATTTATAGGGATCCGTGTCTAGGAAAGTATATGGGTGGTCCATATAGTAAAAGGGGTGGGCATCTTGATTGAAATCCACCCCCCTCCCATATATGATAAGAATGGGGAAGTTTTCATTGCAACATGGCAACATTTCCCTTTTTTTATCAGTTAAAATCAATGTTGCTAGCATTTCTGGGGCTTTTAAGAGATAGAAAAATGAGACAGGTCTCTCTCTCACATATTCCTGGTAAGATTCCTTGGGTTAAAAAAAAGTGGGGTTGGATTGAGGTTGTTATACACAGAATCGTAGAGTTGGTAGAGATCCCAAGGGCCATCCATGTCAACCCTTTTTATGCCATGCAGGAAGACACTATGAAAGCCCTCTTGATAGAGGTTCATCCAGCCTCTGTTTAAAACCCTCCAAAGAAGGAGACTCCATCACTCTCCAAGGGAGCATCTTCCACTGTCAAACAGCTCTTATTGTCAGGAAGTTCTTCCTAATATTGAAGTGGAATCTCATTTCCTGGAGCTTGCATCTATTGCTCTGTGCCTGTCTCTAGAGCAGCAAGAAACAAAATTCTCATAATGTTGAAAATCCAGCTTTGGGGGAGAAATAAACGTGAAACATGCAGACCTTCAGTACAGGATCTCCACTGAGTGGCCCCTCAATCTAAGGTGAAACAGGAAACTACCAAAGAGACCTATCTCATGATGTGACTGAAGTATATATATACATGTAAAAACCATAATAGATAAGGACAGGAATCAATATGCATCCATTATAATGAACAGATAGAACTGAACAATTATTTGTACATACCCTACAACTATCATGATTGATCATCTGCTATCCTGCTTTCCCAGGGCTTGTTCTTCCTCATTCATAATTTTGGCCATCTTGTTCACATTGTGATGTCCCTTAGCCACAAGTGTCTCAGTTTCCATCTGTGAAATGTTGGAAGGTATGTGGCATGGGAGTGAGGGCAATCCCCGATAAATTTTGTGAAGAGCAACCAACACCTCGAGAGATGCACCAACAAATGTTGACATTCCTCTGCACTTGATTGTCAGCATTCATTTGTGCTTGTCTCAAAAGTGAGAAATGGTAGACCTATTTTAAGAGATTCACAAGACATCTTGTCAGCATTAACAATGTTGTGCTGACATTTCCGGACATTTCAGTGTTACATGGGTACTGTTACCCGAAGTTGCATGGATACTAAAGATACCATTTTCTAAAGAATCTTTGTGAATACAGTCTATTGGAATCAATGGACTTCATTTCTTTTGAAATCTGTTGGGGGGATTCCAAAAGTAAACATTGTATGTCCTGAGGATGCATTTGGTATGTCTACACTGCAGAAATAATGCAGTTTGACCCTACTTTAAAGGATCAGGTGTCATTCTACAGAATGCTGGGATTTGGAGGTTTTTAGCACTACTTGGCAGAGAAGACCTACAGACCTTGTAAAACTGCAAATCCTAGGATTTCATAGGATGGAGCTACAGCACTTAAAGTGGTGTCAAACTGCATTATTTCTACAGTGCAGATGTACCCATCATTGAGGAAATCTGCTTTCTCTTTTTTTTCCCCTCTCTCCCTTCTCTCTATTCTCTTCCTCCTCCTCTTCTACCACTACACTTTCTTTAGTGGTATTATTATTATTATTATTGCTATGATGATGATGATCATCATCATCATCCAAGTTGCACTGCTTAACTTATGGCATTCTACAATCAAACACTGAAAATATAAGAAGCCATCATAAACAAACAGTCAGTGCATTAATGCTAATATTTTCCCTCATCTCAACCTTTGGATGCTTTAAGAGAACTGCAAAGGCAATGCAGAAAATGAAAAACAAAAATCAAGCTCTACTCTTTTCCTCTCCTTTTCTCTCTTTTTTTCTCCTGACCCAGACACAACACTTTGAATATTTCATGGAACTGGGGAAGGAGAAAAAGGAAGCCCATAAAGCTCAGGCCATAAAACTGAGGCTTTTGCAATTTTTAATTGCTTAAATTAATAACCAGGTTCTTCTGCAGAAAGAAGCGGATCTTCATTGCTGAGTCAAACAATTTTTGCCAGGTGTGTGTGTGTATAAGTATTTTCACAAAGTCCTTCCCCCTCCAATACTATTGCATGCCAAATTATCTGGAGCCCAAGACAACATGTCCTCCTTTTCATCCAGAAATGATGTCTCCTGATTTTTCATCTATCACACACCAAAAAAAAAGTTTTTTAAAAAATATTCCTCTAAGGATGTAAAATTCATGTGCGTGAAATTTATAGTTAATTGGAAAATAAAAGAAGAGTCATCGGCTCTTTGAAGACAACCAAACTGAAACAAAGTAACGCTGTAGTTAATCTTCAGCAAAACT